GAGATGTACTGGCAAAGTGGCAGCAGCAATGGGCTCAAGCGTGGCAACAATTGTGAGGTTGGCTCAGGGTCAGGCAGTGTTTCCTTCTGTTGTGCATAGGGTTGCTGTGTGTCAGTAACGACTCGATGGCTCCTAACAACAACAACAATATAACTGTATATAAAGTGGGTTGTATATAGTGGGTTGAGTTGGGTTGCTACCCTTAAGGTCAGCAGTTCACATCTATCAGGATCTATACAGGAAAAAGATGAGGCTTTTCTCCTGTAAAATTTAAGTCTCTGAAACCCTATACAGGGTTACTATGAGTTCGTGCTTACTTCAGGACACATATCTTGCACCACCAACCACTGTATATACCTATTTATAGGCATTACTGTGCTGCTGTTTTTAAGTGGTTTAGCTCAGTTCCAACTTACAGATATCCTTTTTAGAGTTTCCCAGGAGCAGCTGGTGAATTTGAACAGTAGATCTGATCTTGTGGTTCAAACTGACCTTGCAGTCCAGTGCATTACGGCACAGGGCCACACCTCCATCCCGCTATAACTATAATTATATACATATAGTGAATTACAAGGTGGCCAGTTCACACCCATCAGATGCTCTTCAGAAACCCTTTACAGGCTTCCTATGAGTTGAAACTGACTCGAGGGCACTTAACAATATCCTGGTGTGGCATGGATTAATGCGCTGGACTGCAAAGCCGTTTGAACTGCAAGATAGGTGGTTGAAGCTCACCAGCTCCTCCTCAGAAACCCTATACAGGGTCACTATGGGTCGGAACTGCGACAACACTTCACAATAATATATATATATGTGTGTTTATACATGTGTGTATATATGTGGCGCTGTGGGCTAATGTGTCAGACCGCAAAATCGTTTGAACTGCAAGGTCAGTAGTTCAAGATCACCAGCTGCTCCTTGTAAACCCTATACAGGATCGCTATGGTTCGGAATCGACTTGAAGGCACTTAATAACAACAGCAACTTTATATATAGTTTTGTTGTTATT